CCCCCCATTTCCCCCCAATTTCCCCCCTCACCTGCGTAGACCCGCCCGTGCTCGGCGTTTTGGGGGAGGGTCCGCGGCACGCGCCCCCCCAGGCCCCTCCCCCGCCGGTAGAAGAGCTCCAGCAGGGGGTGCCGCTCCCCGAAAATCCCGGTGGGGCGCAGGGCCAGCGTCACCAGCCGCCCGCCCCCCGCCACCTGGGGGGGCAATTCCCGAAATTCCCAAAAAATCCGGGATTCCCGGGGGAAAAACCCCGAATTCCGGGAGAAATCCCCAAAGTTCCATCCCAAAAATCCCCAAAATTCCACCCAAAATCCCGAAAATTCCGCTCAAAACGCAAGGGGAAAACCCGAGATCCAAAGCAAATCCCCAAAATTCCCAACAATTCCACCCCAAAATACCCAGAATTCCATCCCAAAATCCCCAAAATTCTGCCCGAAAATCCCCAAAATTCCACCCCAAAATCCCAAAAATTCCACCCAAAATCCCAAAAACTCCACCCAAAATCCCAAAAATCCCACCCCAAAATTCCGAAAATTCCGCTCAAAACGCAACGGAAAAGCCCAAAATCTGAACAATTCCACCCCAAAATCCCAAAAATCCCACCCCAAAATCCCGAAAATTCTGCTCAAAACGCAACGGAAAAGCCCAAAATCTGAACAATTCCACCCCAAAATCCCAAAAATCCCACCCCAAAATCCCGAAAATTCTGCTCAAAACGCAACGGAAAAGCCCAAAATTGGAATAATTCCACCCCAAAATCCCAAAAATTCCAGCCAAAATCCCACAAATTCCACCCAAATTGCAAGAATTCCACCCAAAATCCCACCCAAAATCCCAAAAACCCCACTCAAAATCCCAAAAATCCCACCCCAAAATTCCGAAAATTCCGCTCAAAACGCAACGGAAAAGCCCAAAATCTGAACAATTCCACCCCAAAATCCCAAAAATTCCACCCAAAATCCCAAAATCTCCACCCAAAATCCCGAAAATCCCACCCAAAATTCTGGTGATTTCACCCCAAATCCCGGTGGGGCCACCTGAGGGGGGAATTCCCCCCAAAAAAATTCCAGGAAGATCCAAAATTTTGGGATTCCCAGAAAAAAATCCCCCAAATTCCGGGCGAAATCCCAAAAATTCCACCCCAAAATCCCAATTTTTGCCCCAAAACCCCCAAATTTTGCCCCAAAATCCCCAAATTCTGCCCCAAATTTGGGCTTCCTCACGGGTTTCCCGTTGGCCTCCAGCAGGAGTCGCTCCCTCACCCCAAACCCCAAATTCCCGATCCCAAATCCCAATTTTTGACCCAAAAATCCCCAATTTTTGCCTCAAAATCCCAAATATTTCGGGATTCCTCACAGGTTTTCTGTTGACTTCTAGCAGGAGGCGCTCCCTGATCCCAAATCCCAAATTTTGCCCCAAAACCCCCAATTTTTGCCCCAAAACCCCCAATTCTTGACCCAAAATCCCCAATTTTTGCCCCAAAACCCCAAATTTTTGCCCCAAAATCCCAAATATTTTTGGGTTCCTCACGGGTTTCCCGTTGGCCTCCAGCAGGAGTCGCTCCCTCACCCCAAACCCCAAATTCCCGATCCAAAATCCCAATTTTTGACCCAAAACCCCCAATTTTTGACCCAAAATCCCCAATTTTTCCCCCAAAACCCCCAAATTTTGCCCCAAAACCCCCAAATTTTGCCCCAAATTTGGGCTTCCTCACGGGTTTCCCGTTGGCCTCCAGCAGCAGCCGCTCGGCCTGGGCCTTGCTCAGCGGGTACGGCTCCGAGTGCCGGGTGGGGTACGGCGTCTCCTCGTCCCCCCTGCGGCCCCAAAAACGCCCAAAATCACCCCAAAATCCAGGTCCTCTCAAATCCCCAAAAAAGCCCCCAAAATTCCGGCGGAATTCCCCAAAAATTCCGCCCCAAAAAGGCCGAAATCGCCCCAAAATCCCGAAGCCGCGCCTTAAAATTTCAGTTTTTCAGAGCTTCGAAATCGGCCCAAAATCATCCCAAAAAATTTGGGATAATTCTCAAAAATTCCCCAAAAAGTCCTCCAAAAATTCGGATGAAATTCCCAAAAAATTCAGGCCGAAAATGGCTTAAAAATCCCCAAAATCCTCCCCCTAAAATTTTGGTTTTCTCCAAGGATTTGGGGGCCCCGAAATCCCGAAATTCCCAAAAATTTTTGGAAAAAACATTGCCCCAAAAATTCCCTAAAAATGCCCCAAAAAATTGACAAAAAAATTTACCCGAGGATGCCCCAAAAATTCCCCCAAATTCCAAAAATTCCCCCCAAAATTGCCCCAAAAATTTTGTAAAATTGCCCCAAAAATTCCTCAAAAATTCCCCAAAAAATTCCCCAAAATTCCCAGGAAAACCCCAAAAATTCTGCCAAAAAAGGGCCAAAATCCACCAAAAATTTCCGAATTTTGGGGTTTTCAGGCCCTTTTTGGGGCATTTTGGGGTTTTTGGGTCATTTTTGGGGTCATTTTGGGGTTTTTGGGGTGTGGGTTTTGGGATTTTTTTGGGGTTTTTGGGGTCATTTTGGGGTTTTTGGGATTTTTGTTTTTTTGGTTTTTTGGGGTGCTGAGTCCATTTTCGGGGGGTATTTTTGGGGGTTTTTTGGGTTTTGTGGTGTTTTTTTGGGATGTTTTTAGAGTTTTTGGGGCCGTTTTGGGATGGTTTTTTTGGGGTGTTTTTTGGGATTTTTTTTTGGTTTGTTGGTGGTTTTTGGAGTTTTTGGGATGTTTTTAGGGTGGTTTTGGGGCCATTTTAGGGATTTTGGGGTGTTTTTTGGGGTTTTTGGGGGTGCTGACTCCATTTTTGGGGTGGTTTTTTGGGTTTATTTTTGGTTTTTGGGGGTGCTGAGTCCATTTTTGGGGTGATTTTTTTGGGTATTTTTAATTTTGGGATATTTTTGGGGTTTTTGGGGGCGCTGAGTCCATTTTTGGGGTGTTTTCTGGGGTTTTTGGGGGCGCTGAGTCCATTTTTGGGGTTTTTTTTTTCTTTTTTTTCATTTTGGGGTGTTTTTTTGGGGTTTTTGGGGGCGCCGAGTCCATTTTTGGGGTGTTTTTGGGGGTGCTAAGTCCATTTTTGGGATGTTTTCTGGGGTTTTTGGGGGTGCTGAGTCCATTTTTTGGGTGTTTTTTGGGGTGTTTTTTTGGGGTTTTTGGGAGCGCTGAGTCCATTATTTGGGTATTTTTTGGGGTTTTTGGGGGCGCTGAGTCCATTTTTGGGGTGTTTTTTTGGGGTTTTTGGGGGCGTTGAGTGCATTTTTGGGGTGTTTTTGGGGGTGCTAAGTCCATTTTTGGGATGTTTTCTGGGGTTTTTGGGGGTGCTGAGTCCATTTTTTGGGTGTTTTTTGGGGTGTTTTTTTGGGGTTTTTGGGAGCGCTGATTTTTTCATTTTGGGGTGTTTTTTTGGGGTTTTTGGGGGCGCCGAGTCCATTTTTGGGGTGTTTTCTGGGGTTTTTGGGGGCGCTGAGTCCATTTTTGGGGTTTTTTTTTTCTTTTTTTTCATTTTGGGGTGTTTTTTTGGGGTTTTTGGGGGCGCCGAGTCCATTTTTGGGGTGATTTTTTTCATTTTGGGGTGTTTTTGGGGGTTTTTGGGGCGGGTACCTGACGAAGGGGTCCCCGCGGGTGTTGGGCCCCACCACCTCCATGCTGCTGGTGTAGATCAGCACCGGCACCCCCGCGGCCTGGCAGCCCCGGATCACGTTCTTGGTGCCTGGAACGCCCCAAAACCACCCCAAAGTTACCCCGAAAACACCCCGGAATTGCCCCAAAAATACCCCCAAAGCATCCTGAAAATACTCTGGAATTACCCTGAAAATATCCCCAAAGATTACCCCAAAAACACCCCGGAATTGGCCCAAAAATACCCCCAAAGTATCCCAAAAATACTCTGGAATTGCCCCAAAAATACCCCCAAAGGGATTTTTAGGGATTTTTTGTGGAATTTTTTGGGGATTTTTGGGGATTTTTTGGGGGATTTTTTTTGAATTTTCAGGTAATTTTTTGGGGATTTTTAGGGAATTTTTTTTTGAATTTTCGGGGGATTTTTAGGGATTTTTTGTGGAATTTTTTGGGGATTTTTGGGGATTTTTTGGGGGATTTTTTTTGAATTTTCAGGTAATTTTTTGGGGATTTTTAGGGAATTTTTTTTTGAATTTTCGGGGGATTTTTAGGGATTTTTTGTGGAATTTTTTGGGGATTTTTGGGGATTTTTTGGGGGATTTTTTTTGAATTTTCAGGTAATTTTTTGGGGATTTTTAGGGAATTTTTTTTTGAATTTTCGGGGGATTTTTAGGGATTTTTTGTGGAATTTTTTGGGGATTTTTGGGGATTTTTTGGGGGATTTTTTTTGAATTTTCAGGTAATTTTTTGGGGATTTTTAGGGAATTTTTTTTTGAATTTTCGGGGGATTTTTAGGGATTTTTTGTGGAATTTTTTGGGGATTTTTGGGGATTTTTTGGGGGATTTTTTTTGAATTTTCAGGTAATTTTTTGGGGATTTTTAGGGAATTTTTTTTTGAATTTTCGGGGGATTTTTAGGGATTTTTTGTGGAATTTTTTGGGGATTTTTGGGGATTTTTTGGGGGATTTTTTTTGAATTTTCAGGTAATTTTTTGGGGATTTTTAGGGAATTTTTTTTTGAATTTTCGGGGGATTTTTAGGGATTTTTTGTGGAATTTTTTGGGGATTTTTGGGGATTTTTTGGGGGATTTTTTTTGAATTTTCAGGTAATTTTTTGGGGATTTTTAGGGAATTTTTTTTTGAATTTTCGGGGGATTTTTAGGGATTTTTTGTGGAATTTTTTGGGGATTTTTGGGGATTTTTTGGGGGATTTTTTTTGAATTTTCAGGTAATTTTTTGGGGATTTTTAGGGAATTTTTTTTTGAATTTTCGGGGGATTTTTAGGGATTTTTTGTGGAATTTTTTGGGGATTTTTGGGGATTTTTTGGGGGATTTTTTTTGAATTTTCAGGTAATTTTTTGGGGATTTTTAGGGAATTTTTTTTTGAATTTTCGGGGGATTTTTAGGGATTTTTTGTGGAATTTTTTGGGGATTTTTGGGGATTTTTTGGGGGATTTTTTTTGAATTTTCAGGTAATTTTTTGGGGATTTTTAGGGAATTTTTTTTTGAATTTTCGGGGGATTTTTAGGGATTTTTTGTGGAATTTTTTGGGGATTTTTGGAGAATTTTTGGGGATTTTTTGGGGGGAATTTTTTGAGATTTTTTTTAATTTATTTTTTATGCATTTTTGGGGAATTTTTGGGGGATTTTAATGGAATTTTTGGGGATTTTTTGGCAATTTTTTTGGATTTTTTTGGGAATTTTTTTCGAATTTTTAATGGAAATTTTTTTGGGAATTTTGTGTAAATTTTTACAATTTTTGGGAATTTTGGGGGGATTTTTGCGATTTTTTTTTAAATTTTTTTTCTTTTTTGTGGAATTTTTTTGGGATTTTTGGAGAATTTTTGGGGATTTTTTTGGAGTTGTTGGGGATTTTTTTCAAATTTTTAATGGAATTTTTAATGGAATTTTTTTTATTTTTGTGGAAGTTTTTGGGGGATTTTTTGGGAATTTTTCAGAAAATTTTATGGAATTTTTTTGCGATTTTTTGGGAATTTTTGGGGGGATTTTTTTGGATTTTTTTGGATTTTTTTTGGAATTTTTTACAAATTTTTAATGGATTTTTTTGGGATTTTTGTGGAAATTTTTGGGAATTTTTTTGCATTTTTTTTTTTGATTTTTTAGGGAATTTTTTGGGATTTTTTGGCTTTTTTTTTTCAAGTCATTTTTGGGGTTTTTTCTGGGGTTTTTGGGGGCGCTGGATCCATTTTTGGGGTTTTTTTTTTCTTTTTTTTCATTTTGGGGTGTTTTTTTGGGGTTTTTGGGGGCGCCGAGTCCATTTTTGGGGTGTTTTCTGGGGTTTTTGGGGGCGCTGAGTCCATTTTTGGGGTTTTTTTTTTCTTTTTTTTCATTTTGGGGTGTTTTTTTGGGGTTTTTGGGGGCGCCGAGTCCATTTTTGGGGTGATTTTTTTCATTTTGGGGTGTTTTTGGGGGTTTTTGGGGCGGGTACCTGACGAAGGGGTCCCCGCGGGTGTTGGGCCCCACCACCTCCATGCTGCTGGTGTAGATCAGCACCGGCACCCCCGCGGCCTGGCAGCCCCGGATCACGTTCTTGGTGCCTGGAACGCCCCAAAACCACCCCAAAGTTACCCCGAAAACACCCCGGAATTGCCCCAAAAATACCCCCAAAGCATCCTGAAAATACTCTGGAATTACCCTGAAAATATCCCCAAAGATTACCCCAAAAACACCCCGGAATTGGCCCAAAAATACCCCCAAAGTATCCCAAAAATACTCTGGAATTGCCCCAAAAATACCCCCAAAGTTACCCTGAAAACACCCCGGAATTGCCCCAAAAATACCCCCAAATTTACACCAAAAACACTCCGGAATTGCCCCAAAAATCCCCCCAAATTTACCCCGAAAACACCCCGGAATTGCCCCAAAAATATCCCCAAAGTTACCCCGAAAACACCCTTTGGGGTGAACTCAGAGCACTTTGGGGTGGATTTTTTGGCTGAATTCAGGGCGTTTTGGGGCGGATTTTTGGGGTGAATCGGGGCCTTTCTGGGGCTCACGGTGCCGCTCCGGGACCATCTCGAGGTCGGGGTCGAGGTCGAGGATCCGCAGCTCCCGGAGCTCCGGCTCCGCCTCCAGCAGCACCTGCACCAGGTGAGAGCCCAGGAACCCCGAGCCGCCCGTCACCACCATCACCAGGCCCTGGGGAGAGCCGGAACCGGACTGGGATTGGACTGGGAATACTGGGAATCCCAAAATCCCCTAAAAAACCCCCCAAAAAATCCACCCAGGACCGGCCAAAATCGTCAAAATTCGCCTGGAAATCGTCTAAATCCAACTGGGAACCCCAAAAAATCCAACTGGGAATGCTGGGATTGGACTGGGAATACTGGGAATCCCAAAATCCCCTAAAAAACCCCCCAAAAAATCCACCCAGGACCGGCCAAAATCGTCAAAATTCGCCTGGAAATCGTCTAAATCCAACTGGGAACCCCAAAAAATCCAACTGGGAATGCTGGGATTGGACTGGGATTGAACTGGGAGTAAACTGGGAATCCCAAAATCCCCAAAAAAACCCCCCAAAAAATCCACCCAGGAACGGCCAAAATCGTCAAAATTCGCCTGGAAATCGTCAAAATCCAACTGGGAACCCCAAAAAAATCCAACTGGGAATACTGGGATTGGACTGGGATTGGACTGGGATTGAACTGGGAATCCCAAAATCCTCAAAATCCCCAAAAACCAAAAAAAAATCCCCCCCAAAAATCCCAAATTTCACTTTTTTTAGCTCCGAAAAAACCCCAAAATCCGCCCCAAATTCCCCTCCCCCACCCGGAAGTGGCTCCGAACTCGGCCGAAGTTGCCCAAAATCGCCCGAAGTTCCCCCAAAAAACTCCCAAAATTTCCCCTCCCCCCCCCCTCACCTGCTCCATGGCCCCGCTCCTGCCCCTCCCCCACACGGATTTTTGGGGCAATTTCCCGGGATTTTGGGGAAGCCACGCCCCCCCGAGGGTGGGGAAGGGGGCGGGGCGGAAGCGGAAAGGAGGAGCGAAAAAAAATCGGGAATTTTTGGGGGGAAAATTGGGGAATTTTAGGGAGAAAATTGGGAAATTTTTGGGGGGAAAATTGGGGAATTTTAGGGATAAAATTGGGAATTTTTTGGGGGGACAAAAATCGGGATTTGGGGGGAAATAAAAGAGGGGAACGTGAGTCCTCCGAGCGGGCCGGAGCGGCTCCCATGGGGTTAAATGGGAGGATCATAGAGTTGCGAGGGGGGGCGTTTGGATTAATGGGGGATTTTGGTCCTCCGAGCGGGCCAGAGCGTCTCCAACCGGAAATAACCATAAAGGGGAGGAGGTGATGACGGCGCGGACCGGAAGTGACCATAGAGGTGATGGCTGTTCGTTGAGGTTAACGGAAGTCGCGGTCCTCCGAGCGGGCCAGAGCGGCTCAAAGCCGGAAAAACCCATTAGCCGCAAAACGTAGGACCCAAAACGCGGCGGTTTGGCCCCAAAAAGGTAAAACCGTGACGTAACCGGGGCCTAAAGCCGGACCTTGGCGCGGTTTTGGGTCTAAATTCCCGTTTGTCGGGGATTCCCCCGGCCGGTTCCGGTTTCGCCGCCCACTTCCGGGTGGTGTTCCCTCCTTTCCCTTCCCCCCGCGCTCACTTCCGGTCGCGCCCGCTCCGTTCCGCCCGCGGTGAGTCCCAAAATCGGCGAATTTTGCCCCCAAATCGGCGAATTTTGCCCCAAAATCGGCGAATTTCGCCCCAAAACCCCGCGGGGAAGGAGCGGGGGGGGGAGGGGAAGCTTCCGTTGGGCCGTTAATGGATGCGGATCCACGGCCGGATCGATTTGCCCAAAAATCGCCGTTTTCACCCCAAAATCCACCCCCGATTTTTTCGATTTTCCCGATTTTTACCCCAAAGGCTCCTCCGACCTCGGTTTGGGTCAATTTGGGCGATTTTGAGGTCAATTTGTGCAGATTTGGCTCCATTTGGGTCATTTTGGTCAAATTTGTTCGATTTGAGTCAATTTTGGCCAATTTGGGTCAATTTCGGTGAATTTTTCTTAATTTTGGGTCAACTTCGTTCAATTTTGGTCAATTTCAGCTCAATTTGGGCCGAATTTGGTCGATTTTGGTCAATTTGGTCTCAATTTGTGCTGATCTGGCTCAATTTGGGTCAATTTTGGTTGATTTCGGTCAATTTGGGTCAATCCAAGATCAATTTCGGTCAATTTTGATCAATTTAGTCCAAGTTGGGTCAATTTCGCTCAATTTTTGTCAACTTGGGTCAACCCAAGACCAACTTTGGTTGAATTTGTACCAATTTGGGTCAATTTGTGCCGATTTTGGCTCAATTTGGGTCAATTTTGGCCAATTTTGGTCAATTTGGGTAAATTTTGGCCAATTTGGGTCAATTTCGGCCAATTTGGGCCAATTTTGGTCAACTTGGCTCAACCCAACGTTGACTTGGGTCAACCCAACACCAATTTTGGTCAATTTTGGTCCAGTTTGTTCCAATTTTGGTCAATTTGGGTCAATTTCGCTCAATTTTGGTCAATTTGGGTCAATTTTGGCCAATTTTGGTCAACTTGGCTCAACCCAACGTCGACTTGGGTCAACCCAACACCAATTTTGGTCAATTTGGGTCAATTTCAACCAATTTTGGTCAACTTTGCTCAACCTGGGTCAACCCAACACAAATTTTGGTCAATTTTGGTCCAGTTTGTTCCAATTTTGGTCAATTTGGGTCAATTTCAGCCAATTTGGGTCAATTTCTGCCAATTTTGGTCAACTTGGCTCAACCCAACGTTGACTTGGGTCAACCCGACGATGACTTGGGTCAACCCAACGTTGACTTGGGTCAATCCAAGACCAATTTTGGGGCAATTTACATCAACTTGGGTCGATTCCTCTCAACTTTGGTCATTTTTGGCCAATTTTGGTCAATTTCACTCAATTTCACTTAATTTGTGCCAATTTTGGTCAACTTTGCTCAACTTGGGTCAACCCAACGATGACTTGGGTCAACCCAACACCAATTTGTGCCAAAATTGAGCCAATTTGGGTCAATTTCAACCAATTTTGGTCAACTTTGCTCAACCTGGGTCAACCCAACATTGACTTGGGTCAACCCAACACCAATTTGTGCCAAATTTCCGACAATTTGGGTCAATTTGTGCTGATTTTGGTCACTTTGGGTCAATTTCAACCAATTTTGGTCAACTTTGCTCAACCTGGGTCAACCCAACGATGACTTGGGTCAACCCAGCGATGACTTAGGTCAACCCAATGTTGACTTGGGTCAACCCAACGATGACTTAGGTCAACCCAACGTTGACTTGGGTCAACCCGACGATGACTTGGGTCAACCCAACGTTGACTTGGGTCAACCCAACACAAATTTCCGCCAAAATTTCGCCAATTTATGTCGATTTTTGTTGCATTTCCACCGTTTTTCGTCGCGCTTTGACCAACTCTCGCCGTTTCTCCCCCCCAGCGTCCACTCCCGGCCGGACGATGCCCAAGCCCCTCCGGCCGCGTCCGGCCGAGCGCGTCCGGCAGCGTTTCCGGCGGCTGCGGCGCGCGGCGCGGGCGCTGGTGCTGGAGAACGCCGCGCTTTGCGACGAGCTGGCGCGGCTGGAGGCCAAGTGGACGCTGGCCCGAGGCCAGCGGCGATTCCTGCTCGGACGGCTGCTCGGACACTGCGGCGGTCACTCCGAGGCGGCCGGAGAGGCGGCCAGGAGGACGCGGAGAGCGCGGCCGGCCGCGGGGAGGGGGAGGGGAGGGAGGAAGGATGACCAGTGGTCAGCGGGGGTGAAGGAGGAGCAGTGGTCAGTGGGAGGCAAAGGGGTTGGCTCGAGAGATGACCAGTGGTCAGCAGGCTCCAAGAGTGACCAGTGGTCAGCGGGGGTGAAGGAGGAGCAGTGGTCAGCTGGAGGAAGCGCTGGGATGAAGAGTGACCAGTGGTCAGCAGGCTCAAAGGATGACCAGTGGTCATCAGGCTCCAAGAATGACCAGTGGTCATCAGGCTCCAAGAATGACCAGTGGTCATCAGGCTCCAAGGATGACCAGTGGCCAGCGGGGTCGAAGAATGACCAGTGGTCAGCGGGATCAAAGAGTGACCAGTGGTCAGCTCCAGCAAAGCCACCCGGCCCAAGCGATGACCACTGGTCAGCTGGCTCAAGAGATGACCAGTGGTCAAGCGGCTCTCGGCCGATGTCCGGCGGGCTCCGGCCACCGCCGGACGAGCCCGGAGATGACCACGGGCCCGATGGCGCCGCTGACCGCTCGGCCGCCGTCCGGCCGGAGGAGGAGGAGGACGAGGATGACCACGATGACCGCGATGACCACGAGGAGGACGAGGACGAGGAGGAGGACGAGGAGGAGGAGGAGGAGGACGAAGGCTCCGCTCCGGCCTTTGGCTACTCCGGCCTCTTCCTGGGCAGCCCGGCCGGCTCGGACGAGTGACCGCCAATAAACGAGCCCGGCCGGAGCGGCCGGAGGGGTTCTGGTCACTTCAGGATGAGTCGGGCGTTGTTTGGGCGCGCCGTGGTGACCGCTGACCCCTCCCGCTGACCACCCCAGTGACCACTCCCACTGACCGCCCCAGTGACCGCTGACCCCTCCCGCTGACCACCCCGGAGACCACTGACCACTCCCACTGACCACCCTGGTGACCGCTGACCACTCCCGCTGACCACCCCAGTGACCACTGACCACTCCCACTGACCACTCCCACGAACCGCCCCAGTGACCACTGACCACCCCAATGACCACCCTGGTGACCACTGACCACTCCCACTGACCGCCCCGGTGATCGCTGACCACTCCCACTGACCGTCCAGGTGACCGCTGACCACTCCCACTGACCACCCCAGTGACCCCTCCCACTGACCACCCCAGTGACCCCTCCCACTGACCCCTTGACCCTCCCACTGACCCCTTGACCCACCCACTGACCCCTTGACCCTCCCACTGACCCCTTGACGCTCCCACTGACCCCTTGGCCCACCCACTGACCCCTTGACCCCCTCAATGACCACTTGACCCCTCCCACTGACCGCTTGACCGCTCGCCCCGCGTCTCACGCCTTTATTGACCGGCGGGCGGCGCGGCCGGAGCCGAGTGACCGCCCCGAGTGACCGCGGGCCCGTCCTGGAGGTTGTGGAAGAGCCGGACAGCGTCCGGCCACTCGGCCAGAGCCCGCAGCAGCCGCTCGGCCGCGGCCCTGGCGGCGTCCGGCAGGGCCAGCGCTGACCGCGGCCGAGTTTCCGGCGGCTGCGGCGCGCGGCGCGGGCGCTGGTGCTGGAGAACGCCGCGCTCTGCGACGAGCTGGCGCGGCTGGAGGCCAAGTGGACGCTGGCCCGAGGCCAGCGGCGATTCCTGCTCGGACGGCTGCTCGGACACTGCGGCGGTCACTCCGAGGCGGCCGGAGAGGCGGCCAGGAGGACGCGGAGAGCGCGGCCGGCCGCGGGGAGGGGGAGGGGAGGGAGGAAGGATGACCAGTGGTCAGCGGGGGTGAAGGAGGAGCAGTGGTCAGTGGGAGGCAAAGGGGTTGGCTCGAGAGATGACCAGTGGTCAGCAGGCTCCAAGAGTGACCAGTGGTCAGCGGGGGTGAAGGAGGAGCAGTGGTCAGCTGGAGGAAGCGCTGGGATGAAGAGTGACCAGTGGTCAGCAGGCTCAAAGGATGACCAGTGGTCATCAGGCTCCAAGAATGACCAGTGGTCATCAGGCTCCAAGGATGACCAGTGGCCAGCGGGGTCGAAGAATGACCAGTGGTCAGCGGGATCAAAGAGTGACCAGTGGTCAGCTCCAGCAAAGCCACCCGGCCCAAGCGATGACCACTGGTCAGCTGGCTCAAGAGATGACCAGTGGTCAAGCGGCTCTCGGCCGATGTCCGGCGGGCTCCGGCCACCGCCGGACGAGCCCGGAGATGACCACGGGCCCGATGGCGCCGCTGACCGCTCGGCCGCCGTCCGGCCGGAGGAGGAGGAGGACGAGGATGACCACGATGACCGCGATGACCACGAGGAGGACGAGGACGAGGAGGAGGACGAGGAGGAGGAGGAGGAGGACGAAGGCTCCGCTCCGGCCTTTGGCTACTCCGGCCTCTTCCTGGGCAGCCCGGCCGGCTCGGACGAGTGACCGCCAATAAACGAGCCCGGCCGGAGCGGCCGGAGGGGTTCTGGTCACTTCAGGATGAGTCGGGCGTTGTTTGGGCGCGCCGTGGTGACCGCTGACCCCTCCCGCTGACCACCCCAGTGACCACTCCCCACTCCCACTGACCACTCCCACTGACCGCCCCAGTGACCACTGACCACCCCAATGACCACCCTGGTGACCACTGACCACTCCCACTGACCGCCCCGGTGATCGCTGACCACTCCCACTGACCGTCCAGGTGACCGCTGACCACTCCCACTGACCACTCCCACTGACCGCCCTGATGACCGCTGACCACTCCCACTGACCACCCTGATGACCGCTGATCACTCCACCCCGATGACCACTGTCCACTCCCACTGACCATCCCAATGACCGCTGACTACCCTGAGTGACCACAGGCCAACCCACTGACCCACTGACCACTCCTGGTGACCACTGACCACTCCCACTGACCGCTTGACCCCCCCCCGACCCCTTGACCGCTCCCACTGACCCTTGGTCACTTCTTGACCACCCCGCTGACCACTGACCACCCCAATAGCCCCTTCAATGACCACTGACCACCCCACTGACCCCTTGAGCCCCTCAATGACCCTTTGATCCCTCCCGCTGAGCCCCTGACCCACCCAATGACCACTTGACCATCCCACTGACCCCTTGACCCTCCCACTGACCCCTTGACCCACCCACTGACCCCTTGACCCTCCCACTGACCCCTTGACGCTCCCACTGACCCCTTGGCCCACCCACTGACCCCTTGACCCCCTCAATGACCACTTGACCCCTCCCACTGACCGCTTGACCGCTCGCCCCGCGTCTCACGCCTTTATTGACCGGCGGGCGGCACTCGGGGTGGTCATCGGTCACCGGTCACTCCCCGAAGTGACCGATGACCACCAGGGGTCACTCAGGGAGTGACCGCCGCCCGCTGAGTGACCGGCGGCAGCGGTCAGCCAGCGGCCGGACCCACCTTGAGCTCGGCCTCGTCTTCGGCCACCACGTCCTGGGCTCCGGCCGCTGCGGCCAGCTCCAGCACGGCCTCCATGGCCAGCGTCCGGCCGGACACTCGGACCACGCCCACGGCCTCGAAGGCGTGCCGGACGTCATCGGTCAGCGAGGCCCTGAGTGACCGGGGGTGGGCAGCGGTCAGCGGGGTCACTCGGGGGTCAGTGGGGTCACTCAGGGGTCACTTGGGGGTCAGTGACTCATCCTGAGTGACCAGGGGTGGACAGCGGTCAGTGGGGTCACTCGGGGGTCATCAGGGGTCACTCAGGGGTCAGTGACCCTCCTGAGTGACCAGGGGTGGACAGTGGTCAGTGACGGTCACTCAGGAGTCACTCGGGGGTCTCCCAGGGGTCAGTGGGGTCACTCAGTGGTCACTCTGGTCACTCAGTCATCACTCAGGGGTCACTCAGGGGTCACCCGGGGTCACTCAGCGGTCACCCGGGGGTCACTCAGGGGTCACCCAGGGGTCACTCAGTGATCACTCAGCAGATACTCAGGGGTCACTCAGTGGTCACTCAGCAGACACTCAGGGGTCAGTGGGGTCACTCAGGGGTCAGTGAGGGTCACTCAGCGGTCACTCAGCAGTCACTCAGTGGTCACCCGAGGGTCACTCAGCGGTCAGCACTGACCCGTGGCGGCCCAGCAGCGTCCGGAGCTCGGCCTGGCTGCGCCGGACGTTGTCGGTTCGGACGTCCAGCAGCACGAGTGACCCCCCCGGGCCCCGAGCGGTCAGCAGCACCTGCGACCCCCCGGCCGGACGCTCCTGTGGCCGGAGAGAGCGGGCAGCGGTCAGTGCTCAGTGACCCTGTGGCCGGAGAGAGCGGGCAGCGGTCACTCGGGGGTCAGGGTCCCCTCAGGGGTCACTCAGTGGTCACTCAGCAGTCACTCAGGAGTCAGTGAGGGTCACTCAGCGGTCACTCAGCGGTCACCCGAGGGTCACTCAGCGGTCACTCAGCGGTCACCCGAGGGTCACTCAGTGGTCAGCACTGACCCGTGGCGGCCCAGCAGCGTCCGGAGCTCGGCCTGGCTGCGCCGGACGTTGTCGGTTCGGACGTCCAGCAGCACGAGTGACCCCCCCGGGCCCCGAGCGGTCAGCAGCACCTGCGACCCCCCGGCCGGACGCTCCTGTGGCCGGAGAGAGCGGGCAGCGGTCAGTGCTCAGTGACCCTGTGGCCGGAGAGAGCGGGCAGCGGTCACTCGGGGGTCAGGGTCGTTCAGTGGTCACTCTGTGGTCACTTAGGGGTCACTCAGTTGCCACTAGGATGGTCAGTGGTCACTCAGGAGTGGTCAGTGGTAACTCAGTGGTCACTCAGGGGTGGTCAGGGGTCACTCAGTGGTCACTCAGGGGTGGGCAGTGGTCACTCAGTGGTCAGGGTCATTCAGTGGTCACTCAGGGGCGGTCAGTGGTCACTCAGTGGTCACTGGGATGGTCAGTGGTCACTCACTAGTCACTCAGGGGTGGTCAGTGGTCACTCATTGGTCACTCATTGGTCACTCAGAGGTGGTCAGTGGTCATTCAGGGGTCACTCAGGGGTCACTCAGTGGTCACTCAGGGGTGGTCGGTGGTCACTCATTGGTCGCTCAGCGGTCACGCATTGGTCACTCAGTGGTCACTCAGTGGTCACTCAGCGGCGGTCAGTGGTCACTCATTGGTCACTCAGCGGTCACTCACCCTGACTGACCGCAGCGCTCCCTCGATGGTGGCCTTGGGGACGTTCAGTGTCCGGCACTGGGTGGTCAGTGGTCACTCATTGGTCACTCAGTGGTCACTCAGCGGTCACTCACCCTGACTGACCGCAGCGCTCCCTCGATGGTGGCCTTGGGGACGTTCAGTGTATGTCGTTGCGCCACCACCGCCGCCAGGCCGGGGTTCAGCGCCGGATCCGCGCCGCCCTCTGCGGAGGGGAGGGGCCGTGTCGCGATATATCGCGATATACTGCGATATACCGCGACATATCACGATATGTCGTGATACATCGCTGTGTCGCCCCAGCCCAGTGTCTTCATATCGCGATATGTCGCGATATCGCCACAGCCCGCAATGTATCGTGATACGTCGTAATATATCGCTGTGTCGCCCCAGCCCAGCGTCCCCGTATCGCGATATGTCGTGACATCGCCCAGCCCAGTGTCTTCATATCGCGATATGTCGTGACATTGTCCCAGCCCAGCGTCCCCGTATCGCGGTATGTCGCGATATCGCCACAGCCCAGCGTCCTCATATCGCGATATGTCGTGACATTGTCCCAGCCCAGCGTCCCCGTATCACGATATGTCGTGAGAGTGCCACAGCCCAGCGTCCCCACATCGCGATATGTCGTGATAGTGCCACAGCCCAGCGTCCCCGTATCGCGATATGTCGTGACATCGCCCAGCCCAGTGTCTTCATATCGCGATATGTCGCGATATCGCCCAGCCCAGCGTCCTCATATCACGATGCGTCACCATATCGCGATGTCTTGATGTCCCAATATCGTGACACCCCCATATCGGGATATCCCACAGTCCCGATATCCCCATATCGTGATACCCCGCTCTCCCGACATCCCCGTATCGCGATATCCCACTGTCCCACTATCGCGATATCCCAACATTCCCATATCCCCATATCGCGATATCCCGCTGTCCCAATATCGCGATATCCCAACATTCCCATATGTTCTTCCCGGATGTCGCCGCGGGGCATTGTGGGTAACGGGATGATTTGAATAGCGAGAAAACGAGGTGTTAGTGTTAATAGGAGTGATTTGCATAACCACGCCTCCCTTTAGAATCTCTACATTGGCGCTATAAGAGGTGATTTGCATAGCCACGCCCCTCCCCGTTCACGATGCCTCCGCGGCCACCGGAGCAGCGGCGGGGCCCGCAGCCCCAGCGCCGCCATTTTGTGACCGGCTTCTTCTTCCCCTCACGGTTCCACTTCCGGTTCTTCCCCGGCGCCGCCGCGAGGCATTGTGGGTAGCGGGTTGATTTGAATAGCCACGCCCTCCAGCTAAAACCATATGTAATAGCGTTAATGATGTGATTTGCATAGCCATTCCTCCCTCTAGAAACGATATATTGGTGTTATAAGAGGTGATTTGCATAGCCACGCCTCCCCTTAAAAACTCTATAATGGCGTTATAAGAGCTGATTTGCATAGCCACGCCCCCTAGCTAGAAACTGATCTGATGGCATTAATGAGTGTGATTTGCATAGCCACACCTCCCTTTAGAAGCTCTATAATGAGGTTACAAGAGCTGATTTGCATAGCCACGCCCCCAGATAGAAACCGATCTAATGGCATTAATGATGTTATTTGCATAGCCACACCCTCCTTTAGAAAAGATATATTGGTGTCATAGGAGCTGATTTGCATAGCCACGCCCTCCCTTTGAAGCAATATGTTTATGGTAAATTGACTTCTTTGCATAACCACGCCCCTTTAAAAACCTGTGTAATGCATTTAGGGGCGCTGATTTGCATAGCCACGCCTCCCCTTTAGAAACAATCTATTAGCGATAAAAGTGCTGATTTGCATAGCCACGCCTCCCTTTAGAAACAATCTATTAGCGATAAAAGTGCTGATTTGCATAGCCACGCCTCCCTTTAGAAACAATCTAGTAGCGATAAAAGTGCTGATTTGCATAGCCACGCCTCCCTTTAGAAACAATCTATTGGTGTTATAAGAGCTGATTTGCATAGCCACGCCTCCCTTGGAAATAACACATGGGTGTTAACGGGGCTGATTTGCATGGCCACGCCCCTCTGCGGATTGGGAACGCACGGACAGACGGACGGGGGGAACGGGAGGATGGACGGACGGACAGATGGACACGGGGATGGACAGACAGACGGACGGACGGACGGACACGGGGAATGGACGGACGGACAGACGGACGGACACGGGGACGGGCAGACGGACAGGGGGAACGGGAGGATGGACAGACGGACGGACGGACGGACACGGGGAACGGACGGACAGACGGACGGACGGACGGACCCAGGGATGGACGGACAGACGGACGGATGGACACGGGGAATGGACGGACAGACGGACGGACGCTGGGGGCAGACGGACAGACGGACGGACGGACACGGGAATGGTCTGGTGGACAGACGGACTGGGGAATGGATGGACGGACGGACGAACGGACACGGGGAACAGACAGACGGACGGATGGACACGGGGAATGGACGGACGGATGGACGGACGGACACGGGGAAAGGACGGACAGACGGACGGACAGACACGGGGAATGGGCAGTTGGGATGGACGGGCGGACAGACAGACAGAGGGAATGGACGGACGGATGGACGGATGGACGGACGGCTACGGGGAACAGACAGACGGACAGGTGGACACGGGGAACGGACGGACGGAGGGACGGACGCTGGGGGCAGACGGACGGACGGACAGACGGACACGGGAATGGTCTGGTGGACAGACGGACGGGGGAATGGACGGACGGACGGACGGATGGACGGACACGGGATTGGATGGACGCGTGGACAGACGGACGCGGGGAACGGGCAGTTGGGACGGACAGACGGATGGACGGACGGGCACTGGGAATGGATGGATGGACGGACGGACAGATGGACGGACAGGGAATGGACGGACGGACGGACACAGGGATGGACAGACAGACGGACGGACGGGCACGGGGAATGGATGGATGGACGGACGGACGGACACGGGGAACGGACGGACAGACGGACAGGCACGAGGAATGGATGGATGGACGGATGGACAGAGGGAATGGACAGACGGACAGACGGGGTGGACGGACGGACGGACGGACACTGGGGGCAGACACATGGACAAACGGACACGGGGAACGGGCGGACGGACAGATGGACACAGGATTGGATGGATGGACGGACGGACGGACAGAGGGAATGGATGGACAGACAGACGGACGGACGGGGCGGACGGACGGACGGACGGACACTGGGGGCGGACACATGGACAAACGGACACGGGCAACGGACGGACAGACGGGCACGGGCAGTGGACAGACGGACAGACGGACACGGGATTGGATGGATGGACAGACGGACGGACAGAGGGAAAGGATGGATGGACGGACGGACGGACGGACGGACGGACAGAGGGAATGGATGGACAGACGGGGTGGATGGACGGACAGATGGACAGACAGATGGGCACGGGCAGTGGACAGACGGACAGACGGACACGGGATTGGATGGATGGACGGACAGACGGACGGACAGAGGGAAAGGATGGACGGACGGACGGGGCGGACGGACACAGGGACGGGCAGACGGACGGACAGACGGACACGGGGAATGGACAGATGGACAGATGGACACGGGGAACGGACGGACAGACGGACAGATGGGCACGGGGAGTGGACGGATGGACGGACGGACAGCTCTGTCCTTGGGAACGGACGGACGGACAGATGGACAGGTGGACGCAGGGAATGGACGGACGGACAGACGGACACGGGGAATGGATGGATGGACAGACAGGGAATGGACAGACAGACAGGTGGACGCAGGGAACGGACAGACGGACGGAACGGACGGACAGACGGACGGACGGACGGGCCCCATCCCCCACCCCCCCTCCCCTCCCCCCACGGGAAGCGGCTCCTTCCTCCCC